GCCCCCGCCATGGCCCGGGCCACTCTAACACCTGCTTCACCGCCATCTTGACGTTGGCGCATCTGGACGGCCCACCAGACCCACGGTGGGGTCGGGGACAGGAAGTGCCATCCCCACAAGCTTCCTGTTCAGCTTGAGGGTGACTTTGCCCACAGCCTTGGCAGGGCTGTCGGACACCAGATGTGGCCACCAAGCCACAGTCTGCAGGGGCCATCCTCCGCCTTAGGGCAGCGTGACAGAGCAGACCGGGGACACATGCGAGTCCCCCACCTTGCCAGAATCCTCCCAGGTGACCTTGGCGGGGAGTCCCTCATGGCGTCTGGATCCTCTTTCTTGGAAGGACTTGGCGCAGTCACGGGTGGCGCTGTGTCAGATAGCACAGGTGTCCCCCCCCCAGGATGCCTCTGCACAGAGCCTCCTCCCAGTGCCACGCCCTCCCCAGGGCCCCTCCTGCAGTGGCGGGTGATGCAGGGTCCAAAGGCCAGGCCCTGTTGTCACATCTGGAACGACCAGGTACAGAGGTCATGGTGGGGTGGGTCCAGGTGGTCCCTGGCTTGTCCCCAGGGCCGCCACCGACGTTTGCCCGATCCTGAACCTTCCCATTCGTCACTAGATGTGGGTCCCAAGGGCACCCCACTCGGTGACGCTGTTCACTGAGTCCCACCTCAGAGTCACCTCTCCTGGAAGCCGACCTGCAGCTATGCCACCAGGAGCCGTCAGAGAAGATGCAGCATGGGGCTGGCTCCCCCTGGCCGGGCTGGCACGGTCACCGTGGGGAAATGTGCTGGGGGAGGGACATGAACCGCTGCTGGTCACGGGGGTGTCCACACGTTCCGGACGGGGTGAAGCGGGAGGGAGTGCGGTGGCCGGAGGGTCAGGTGAGCATTTGAGAAAACTGGGGGGACTGTAAATGTGGGGCAGGGGGATCCGGAGTCGCTTGGCCCAGCTCCCTCGGCGCTTCAGGAAACACACTCAGAAGCAGAGGGGGACGGTGGCCGGCCAAACCCTCTGTGAAGGCCAGAGGAACTCCTGGAGCGGGTGAAGGCCCAGTAGGGGACAAAGAGCTCCAAGGGCCAGAGCAGGACCTCATGGTCAGGCCAGATGAGCCACAGGGACCCAGGGGCCCCGGCCAGGGCCAGTTTGCAGTGGGAGAGATGGAGACCTTGTCACAGGAGGTGGCACATCAGCGCTGAGATCTCGGAGCACCGTGGCTCTCCAGAGCCTGAGAACCCTCTGGAGCCGTGGCTGTGGCCTCTCCTTCCAGTGGAGAGCAGCCCCGCCACCGAGGCAGACGCAGTGGCCACTTGGCCCCTCGGGATCTACCCCAGCCCACACCTGCCCGGTGCCCAGGCCCGTAGCTCAGGTGAAGTGACACACAGCCCAGCAGGTGGCTGGGCCTGATCAAGGAGGATGGGACCAAGACGGCCACCGAGACTCCAGGTGGCGCAGCAGGGACCTGCGGCCTGAGAGAGCGCAGGCCAAGTGCTGGTCGGCTGGAGAGGGACGCAGGTTGGATAAGGGAGGGCTGAACTTGGGGTGGTCTCTCGGGCCACGGGGCTTTACCCCAGCAAGGACACCCGGAGATC